AACTATTTTTCTTTTGAGATAGATTTTTCTCTCTTCCCATTTAGAGGCAAGTGTCACACTTAACTTCTAGAGGTGTAATTGTATTCTGGGTGCTTAAGCTGCTGGAAATCTATCTACTACACAGAAGAAATTACTATATTGGATGTGACTTGGGAGGAGTTTATTCATCTTTTAGCAAGGGCTTCCTGGCTCTAGGTCTGTAGTGCATAAAGTGAGGCAGTGTGCTCAGCAAAACGGTGGATGAGTGAGGTGGAAACTTAATTTTGAATTCCTGTATTGGACAAGTTAACATGGTAACTTCAAAATCAGACTTTCTCTAAATACTCTGAGGATAGATAGAAAATGTGAACAAGTGTATGGAATAAATGAAGTATATCTGACTAGAAATAAAAGTGGTCAAGACTCAGTGTCACCTTATAATTGTGAACCTTTATTTACTGTGTTTTGGCTTCATATATTACTCTAGAAAGTCTGTGTAACACCCACACTACAGGAGATGTCGCTGTTAAGGTTTTATAGTTAATACTATAATAATACTTGCAAGTTGATGCGTTAAAAGAATTTGAGCTCATTTTTCTGGTGAAAGAAATCTTTTTGAGGAAAATGCATAGTCCAATTAAATGTTATTACAAGTCAGTGAAAATATTAAAGAAAATATAATTGCCAGTAGTTACAGGCATAACTCATTTTTATTGTACTTCACAGATAATTGCGTTTTTTTTAAAAAATAATTATTATTACAAAGGTTTGTGTCAACCCTGCTTCAAGCAAGTCTATCAGTGGTATTTTCCAATAACATTTTGTTCGCTTTGTGTCTGTGTCACGTTTTGGTAATTCTCTGAATATTTCAAACTTTTTCATTATTATTATGTTTTTTATGGTGATCTGTGATCTTTGATATTACTATTGTAATTATTTTGTGGTGCCATAAACTGCACTCACATAAAACAGCGCACTTGATGGATGAATGTGTGTTCTGACTGCTCCACCGACCTGCCATTTCTGCATCTCTCTCCCTCTTCTCAGGCCTCCCTGTTCTCTGAGTTATGACAATATTGAAATTAGGCCAGTTGACAACCCCACAATGACCTCTAAGTGTTCAAGTGAAAAGAAGAGCCAATTGATGTGGCAAATTTCATTGTTGTCTTATTTTAAAAAATTGCCTCAGCCACTCCAACCTTCAGCAGCCACCACCCTGATCAGTCAGCAGCCATCGACGTAGAGGCAAAATCCTCCACCAGCAAAACAATTATGACTTGCTGAAGGCTTCGATGATGGTTAGCATTTTTTAGCAATAAAGTCTTTTTAAGTTAAAGCATATACATTGTTTTGTTTTTTGTTTTGGACACAATGTTATTGCACATTTAATAAACTATAGTATAGTGTAAACGTAGCTTTCATATGCATGGAAAAACCAAAAAATTCGTGTGACTGGCTTTATTGCAATATTTGTTTAATTGTTGTGGTCTGGAACCAAATCCACAATATCTCTGAGGTATGCCTGTATTATTTTATTGATAATGAACTTTATATTTTAGAATTGTTTTAGACTTACAGAAAAATTACAGAGACAGTATGGAGGTTTCCCATATACCACATGCCCTGTTTCTCCTGTTATTAATAGGATAATAGTGGGTTGAATAGCGGCCTCAAAAGTCCTAACCCACAATCACTGTGAATGTGACCTTATTTGGAAATAGGATCTTTGTAGATGTAATGAAGAGTCTTGGGATGATATCATCCTGGATTTAGGGCGGATCCTAAACCCAATGGGACCGGTATTATAAGAGAACACCATGTGAACACACACACACACACACACACACACACACACACACACACACACAGAGAGAGAGAGAGAGAGAGAGAGAGAGAGAGAGAGAGAGAGAGAGAAGGCCATGTGATGGAGGCAAAGACTGAAATGACACAGCTACCAGCCAAGGATTGCTGGCAACCACTAGACACTAAAAAGATGCAAGGAAGGGTTCTTCCCTAGAGCCTTCACAGGGAGCATGGACCACCCCCGTACTCCTTGATTTTGATCTCCAGAACAGTGAGAGAATACATTTCTATTGTTTTAAGCCACACCGTGGTAATTTGTTATGGCAACTCTAGGAAACTGATACATTACAGTAGGATAGTAATTTTTTTTTTTAAATCAGTGAACCAGTATTTATACATTACTATTAACTAAGGTCATGCTTCACTCAGACCTTTTTAGTTTTTACGTAATGTCCATTTTCTGTTCCAGGATCCCATCTGGGATACCAATTACATTCAGTTGTCATGTCTCCTTAGGCTCCTCCTGGCAGTCACAATTTCTAAGACTGTCATGTGTTTTATGACTTTGACAGTTTTGGGGAGTACTGGTCAGATATTTTGTAGAGTGTCCCCCAAACTGTGATTTGCCTGATGTGATTTTGGGAGGAAGACCAATGAGGTAAAGTGCCATTTTCATCACCTCGTACAAGGGAACATGTTATCAACGTGAATCATCACTGTTGATGTTAACCTGATCACCGGCTGCAGGCAGCCTTTGCCAGCATTCCTCATTGTAAAGTTTCTCTTTGTTTCCCCTTTTCCATACTGTACTCTTTGGAAGGAAGTCACTATGTGCAGATCACACTTAAGGAATGTGGAGTTATGCTCCATCTCCTTGAGGGCAGAGTATATTAAAAAATTAGTTTAAATTCATCAGTGCAGATTTGTCTATTCCCATTTATTTATTTAAGTATTTATATTGGTATGACTCATGGATATTTATTATACTTTGAGTACCAATCCAATACTATTTATTATTATTATTATTATTATTTTGCTAAAATTGTTTGAGCTTTGGTCGTTGAGAGCTTCTTCCGTGGGCTTCTATGTCCCTGTGACATCCCCATCGTGGGATTTTTTTTAACCCTTTCTTAATTTCTGACAATACAAGATGCTTCCAGGCTCATCTTGTGTATGTCCTGCCTCAGTCCATAGAATTAGCAATTTCTACAAGAAGCTCTGGTTTCCTTTAATGAAGAATGTAATTAGAAACCAAGATGTGGGCATGTTGCTACTGGGGCATTGTTGCTTCTAGGCCGTCTCAGCTGACACAGCAAGGAGATATGTATATTAACTGCTGTAAATACACATATTTAAAAGTATTGGGTTGTCTGAAAAGTCATGATGCATTTTTGCAACAAAAGCAGAAAAAATATGTCATGATTTTCTGACAACCCAATATTTCTATCTGTAACCATCTGTATCTAAATTAAGCTAAACACGAGTTCATACTGAGATCTCGAACTCTAATCCATTACCACATGGATCATTCTAGCTTCTTATTTATTTATTTTTAAGATTTTTATTGGGGAAATGGGGAGGGGAACAGTGTTGGGGAATTGGGGAAGGGGAATATTGTGTTTTCCCAGGACCCATCAAGTCAAGTTGATGTCCTTCAGTCTTAGTTATGGAGGGCACAGGCTCAGCTCCAAGTCTACTGGCAACCTTGCTGCTAAGAGAACATACACTCACCAGCTTAGCAGCAGCTCAGCTCAGGCACAGCTCACTGGCCCAAGTGGGAATCGAACCGGTGACCCTATTGTTCAGCGCTTACGCTCTTAACCAACTGAGCCACTTAGCCGGCCTCCTCCCTTGCTTATTTTTAACCTCCCACTCCAACTGGGCCAAACCTGGCTACTCTCCATCCATTTACTTAATTGTTCAGTTCCAGTATAGAAGTATTCATGTATATAAGTATCAGAATTATTAACCCATATTCCTATGGAATACAACTTCATTAACTAAAGTACAGTGCTATGCACAATTTCTTTTGCCTTTAGTTTTATATACTCCACTCTTTTCCAAGTTACTAAGGTCAGCCACTTTCCCCGCATGCTCCCCAGAGAGCTTGTTTCATACATTTGTAATACAGTTAGATTGTTTTGCTACATTCTGCATTTCATCCTGGGATTCCTCTTGATCTCCTCAATGATTTAAAAAAATTTACATACATTAAGGTTTACTCTTTATGCTGTAAAGTTCAGTAGGTTTTGACAAATGCATAATGTCAGTAGCCACAATTCCAGCATCATATAGAATAGTTTCACCTCCCTAAAAATTCCCATATGCCTGATTAGATTTTATTTGGAAAATAGTTTTAAAAACCTAATAAATAAATACAGAACTTGGGGACATGTTATCAAGAACTTGTGTGTTAATGTTTTATTATACTTGTTTCAGATTTATTAAAATAAATGAAAATTTTAAAATAATTTAATTAAGTCCTCTTGTACTTTTTCCTAATTCCATTTTTCTTCTTCCTTAACCAAGGGCAGTAACTGTTAAAACTGTGGGTTTTCTAGTCCATGACTTTATACTTTACTAAATGTATTTGTGACCCTAAACAATAAGCATTATAGTTCTGTGTGTTCTATATACATTTATATAAAGACACTATTTTGTATGCACTGTCTAAAACTTCTTTATTTTCCTATCAGTACTGTGCTTCTAAGATCCATCTAAGGTTTATAATTTTTGTGCTTGAATGGCTTTATTAATGTTTAGTTATATGAATATGCCACATTTTATTAATCAGTTTCTCTATTAATGGACATTGACATTGGGCTTTGTTTTTTGTTTTTTTTTGCTATTTCATATACAGTATGAACATCCTTGTACATATCTCTTTATGCACGTGTTTCAGAATTTCCTTAGACTATAGAGCTGGAAGTGAAATTGCTGGATCATGTGGCATGTATATTTTCTCTTTTACTAGAAATTGCCAATTTACCTCCACTATGGCTCTACTAATTTCCCCATATCCTTCACATTACTTGGAATTACTGACTTTACATTTTTGCTAATCTGATAAGTATGAAAAGCTTTCTTTAGATTTTCAGAGGCTGTGGGACTAATCACTTCACTTTCTAGGAAACTAGATACAATTTTGATAAGAGCTTGGGCTTTTACCCTAGTGACCATTTATTAGTTTCTAATAGCCTTTTATGTTATTTTCAAAGGTGTCTGCTTATCCAGGACTTACGAAGTTGTTTTGGAATGTAACTTCACCCAAATTCTCTGTTCCAGTATCTGTCATGAAGGAAACCCTGTATCCAAAATATGAGGTAACATACTGAATGATTTTCTGTATTGCATTTGTTGTTTAATAATTAAACTGTGTAATTAAATTAAATTTTATTGGACAGTTGTTATGTAAATTGCCAGACAACTATTGCCATAATTAAGAATGATTGGATGGCACTTTAGAAATTATATGTATAATAGATAATTATTATATGTGTGTATTACATATATGTACATATATACAATATACTTATGTCTATAACTGTGTATATTTATGCACATATATATCGTATATAGGTTTAAAAAACTGTTATACTTATCCATGTTATTTTAATGAGCTAAGTTTTCTTTTTGAAAGGATATTTTATTTGACTGAGTTTCCAAGATATAAAACTACTTGGGTTGTTCAGATCTTCATGGTATTTTCATTGGCTTTTAAAAGTGCAATTTTAATTAATTTAATGTTAAAAAGTTTACCACTGCGCAATACAATCATTAATTTTTTTCTTCTTACCTTAAAGAGTGTTTCTTGCTTTAATTTTATGTTACACTGATTATTTTAAATATTACAAAAATCATTTCCAGTCAAAATGGTGGAGGAGGTATATGCTGTGTTCGCCTCCTTTCATGACCACATCAAAATTACAATTAAAGTACAGAACAACCATCATTTTAATGATATTTAGGATTATTTTATTTGTATACTATTTTACGCAGCATAGTAAAACATGTGATATCAAAAAAGGCTAAAACAAAAATGTTAAGGAAATCATGGGGAAAAAAGTATAACAAGAGTAATAGCATAATAAACTCAAAGATAAGATTAAATCAAAGAAATTCTGTTCATATATGCTGTTGCTTGAAATGGGGTCATCAATTTGCCTCAGCTTCTCTGCAAGCAAGGCTGGGATGGAATCACGTTGATATTTCACCTATGGATGCAACATGTTTAGAATGTTGATATTGAAACAGTTTTACGTTTCTTGGATAACTTGACCACCAGCCTCTAGCTGTAGTCCTGTATACTTACCATTTCATTCATTCCAAAGCCATTCATTCCTCTGGGCTGCTCCCAGCCAGTGACTGAGCACAGGGGGCTTGTTAGTGCTTGTCTACTCCTGCTTGATGTGGGGTTGTTTTAATGGGCAGCTTTGGCTCAGGGACTCTCTATGTGCCTGGCTGAATCTCAAAACTGCTCTGTCCTGAAGCTCTCCATACCCACTCCTTCTTTCTTCCCCTTTCCCATGTCCGACATGCATTATGATCTGAAGGCGTCCCCTTCCTGCTACTCCTTCTCTATTTATTGTCCGCGGATACCATCTGCTTCTGCTTTATTGAACCGATATAGTAGGGGCATCTGTAATATGAGTGCGATGTTTTCCAATCTACATGTTTATAAAGAACGGCCATGTATTTTTCTGTCTTTGTATATAAAAAATGTGAATATAGGGAATTCATAGTAGGCAGACTTATCTGAAGGAGGAATTGCAGCATGAATAAGAACGATTGGTGAGAACAGGTGATGGTGGAGTAACCCATTAGAAAGGTGGGCCAAAAGTAAATCAGCTGGTGGTGGTTCACGCCCAATGGCTAGAAGAGAAGGGACCCAAAAGGCCTGGCACAGAAAGGTGGCCCAGGAACTTTCCATACGTCAGAACGGGAATCAGACCTTTGTTCAAAGATTCCTATTTCCTCTGAATGGGAATTTGTGTTTAGATACAACAATCTATATGCCCCATTTTTTAAAAAAAAGCAAATGTAACTAATTTATATATATGATTATTGTTTTTTGTTTGATCATACCATTCATTAATTCATGTTTTTTATTGACGCTGCCTTTTGTTTTATTTTCTTCTTTTAATCCTTTTCTTAAATTTATTCTTTCTTTTTTTTTTTTTACTTTAAAAAGTTTAGTGTTCTGGCTATATATTCTGATTTTATTTCTATTTTTCAACTATTTGGAAAAATTATACTTTATCATTTCTATTTTGAAAGTTATATGTCTTGTTTCTTATTCCTATGGTGGTTTTCCTAGATTATACATCTTCAACTTATCAATATCTACTATAGATTAATATCTTTGTACTCTTCTACGAAAAAACAGTGAGTTTAAAACTTTTTAATTCCATTTACCCCTTCTTGACTTAATATGCTCTTACTTTGATATATTTTTAGATACTTATCTTTTAAAACACCCAAAACATCATTTTATACAGTATCCCTTACATTTTACCTTTATATTTATCTTTCTATCTGTTTTCTCTTTTCCTTTTTTTCCCCCTAACATCTCAGAGCTTTCTGTCTCGAATCATTTTACCTTCTGTCTATAGTATATCCTTTAGAATTTTCTTTGAAGGAAGTGGGAGATCTACAGCTGGTAAAAAGCTTGGTTTTTCTTTGTTTCAAATGCCTTTATATTATCCTTAAGGGGTATTTTACCTGGACATAATATATGTTGCAAATATTTTCTTTTAGCACACCAATGATGTTTTCTGGTGTCCAGTGTTGTTAGAAGTGATTCTTAAGTATGGATCCTTTGAAGATAATCAATTCTCTGCTTCCCCCCAAACTGGCTACTTTAAAATTTTTCTCTTTTCTTCCCTGCAGTTTTATTATGATGTGTCTCATTGCAGATTTTTTTATGATGCTTTGGAATCATTGGGATTTTTGAATCTGTGGTTTAATGTCTTTCACCAGCTATGGAAAATTTTTAGTAATTATTTCTTCAAATTTTGCCCTGTCCATTCTCTCTTTCATTTTCTGGACTTTAATCATATTATTAGCTACATTTTTTCCCCTCCTGATATTGAATTCTGAGCAATTTCTATTGATCTGTCATATAGTTCAGGTTCAGACATTTTTTTCTTCAGTTGTGTCTAATGTACTGTTAAATTTGTTTACTGTATTTTTAAATTTGTTTTTTTTTTCTTTTTAGAATTTATATATTTTTTCTCAAAATCTGTTGTTTTCTGGTGTTTTGTTTCTTTGTGTACCTGTCTGTCTTTAAATGTTTATCATTGTATTTAAGACACTATTTTTAGGAAATATTTGAGACTTTAGAATATCAGTTTCTCTCTCTAGGAAAAATTTTTTGTCAGAACCTGGGATCTTTACCACTCAGAGACAGCCTCAATCTAAGGTTGAGGCTTGAGTTTCTCTCACCACCCTCACAAAGGTTAGTTTTCTTTCATTGACTCTTAACCTGAAGGTGTAGCTCTGTAGTGTCCTTGTAGCCTTGAATACTTGTATATTTTGTATATTTACAAACATATGTATATATTTTTAGATATATGTACTATATATGTATAAAACACATATATATGTATATATCTATATCTATATCTATCTACCTATATAGATAGATAGATATAGATAGATATAGATATATATGTATAAAATCAGGCTTCATACATCAGGTAGATCAGATAGGTTCTGGCCCTCAATTTCTGTTACCTTTTCCCCACGAAGTTGCATATCTGCAGCTCAGATTTGCCCCTCTTTTGGTAAACAGCCTGAGAATAAAAGCATCTTTGAATACTGGACTTACCTTTTCAGGTTCTTGCCTTTTCTTAGGTTTTGGCCCATTATCTCTTCATCGTCTTGTTATCACTCTGATTCTTTGAAGATTATGTTTTTCATATCACATGTAGCTTTCTTAGTTGTCTTCAGCAGAATTACGTAGCCTGCCATAATTAGAAGCAGGAGTCATAGTTGAAGGGAGCAAGACTGTTTATTTTCATCTGCATCCTAGCTTTTATTGCATGCATATCAGTTGCAGCAATACCCCTGGAATGGAGTAGAAGAAGTTTTACACCAGATGTCATGTAAGCAATACTGTAATTGCCCTCTCACGGCACATTAGTGTGGGCAATATCTTTTAAGATTCCATGTAAACCACATTCTCTTTTTAAAAAGCAACCGTTGAATATTAGTAAGTTCCGCTGTTTTAATATCTCTAAAATACAGTACAGCAAGTCTTCACTTAACATTGTGGATAGGTTCTGTGTTTTAAGCAAAATGACATATAACAAAGCCAATTTTACCAGAGGCTAATTGATATAAACAAGAATTAGGTTCCTTTGGCACCTCATCGTTATAAAATGTTACTCGAGGACCTGCTATTTTACGGTTTTTGTCCTTGTTATTGTTAAAAGCATTCTTTTAAATATATAATAGCTGTTATTCCATCATATTTGAATATTTTGTGTAAGCATATGCAAAACAGTTCTAAAATTTCTTGTGCATCATGTCATTTGCCTTTGAAGAGTAATGATGAAAGTGACCAAGTCTCTTTTTGCTATGTCCAGTTATCTTCTGCCCTTCCATTGTGCCCTAGCTACTTTCTAAAAATATTAATACAACCAAAATTCCATGCTGGTGATTCTTAAATTACCCATAACCTTCTCCATATCTGTTCCATTCTCAGAGATAATTACATGATGCTTTTCAAAGCTGATTTCCTATTGAATAATTATTTTTTGAATTTGAAATTTTAGTTGTTTGAGACCTAAACATTTTCAGCAAACTAGGCAGCGGAATGATTGAATTCTTCATGAGTCCACTAGGCTGTCAAACTTGGATCTTCTAGTTGTTTCTACATACCCAAATCTCTGATTACAAGATAAAGAAGTAGCACATTTAATAATAATCATAAGCATTACAGCAGTTTAACCCTTACAACAAGAAACATACGTATATAACTTAATTGACTGATAAAGAGTTTGAATTATAAAGCATTTAAGATTTTCATTCCAATTAACATTTAGAATGCTTGTATTTTATAGTAAATAGTCACATTGAAAAATTAATCCAAATAATGATTTATTCATAATCCTGCTGTTGATATGCTGAATAGATTCATTGCTAACTTGTGAGATCACAGGATCATTGATTGCTCCTAAGATTAGGGATGCCTGAAATAACAGAAGTATTCATGTGACTAAAGACCAATGCTAAAGCCAAATTGTGGGTTTGGGTCAAATACTAAGGCTGTAGCTGGAATTTGATGCATCTCCGGTAAATGTTTTCTACAATTCTACCCTTTCCATGTATTTCTCTTTTGGTAATAATGTTGTACTGTGAAATAAAAGTGATCATAGGCATTTTAAAGTATTCCACCCTATAATTTAAAACTGTTATCTTTTTTTACCAGAGTGTTCAAGCAAGCAGAATTGTAACTGAAAAATTTTCATCTGAAAGCAAGGAAAGTGATATGACTTTAAATCAGCATAGCAAAAGAAGTCTTAGGGTATGTATAATTTTTATTCTGAATTTTGGGTTGGTTGCTTTATTTGCCTACAGCTCAGATATTATTTCTAGTAATCCTGGAAATTATTTCTTGGTGCTTCCTCAGTCCAGGAAATGCCTCAGAGCATTCACTGGTATCTTTGCTGAGGACACATTTCCTCTTTTTCAAATATGTTGTCTTTATGACATCAGAAGATGTTATTTACTAACCAATAGCAGGATATCTATACTGTGAGTTTTCCTAAAGATTTCTGGTTTTGTACTCATTTATCACTTCTTGCCTAGGTCTTCAGTGATCAAAGGAACATGTTTATAAATCTTTTGACCAAAGGAGGAATTGTTCATGGCCATGAAATAATAAAACCGAATTCCCTAAATGGTGATTAGATTCATGCACATGACTTTATTATCAGTATAGTGTATTTAAGTAAGCTAATTAAACAATAAACACAATCAAAGAGAAAAGATAGTGACTGAGAGAAGAAGAAAGGTATAAAATTTATATAATTTGTTTAATAAGGGTTCTGAATGTTATGGTGACAAACAAGAAACAGTTTTATTTTTCTCTCATGAGTGCTTCCAGCCCTTTGCTCCCCTTGATGATATCTTGGGATGCTGAGTACTACATAGTATAGAGTCTTAATGTCCTGGGATAAATCAACTCCCTATTGTAGTCATTTTACTGGGTTAAATACATGTTTCATACAGTCAGGTAATACTTTTTTGTTTTTGGAGGGGATAATGATTATTTTATGTAGATCACTCTTTTTTTGCTATTTTCCTTATAACACTTATTAAATATTTGTTCTTTTATATATTTGATCTTTGTATTCCTCACCAGGCTGGGGTCATATCAGTCTTGTTTACTGTTTTATCCATAACACCTAGAGCAGTGAGCATCACATAAAAAAATAATTGAACCAACGAATGACACTTTTGAGTTTGAATGCCATTCGCACTTTCTAGACTTCTGTGGTAAGTCTACCACACCTTACACCTACCTGTCAGATAACTCCCATTTTCAGTAGCTGCTTCTTCCAATCCATCTTCTTTCCTGAACACAGGTATGATATGTTACTCATATCTCAAAAAACTGAATAACTACCTACCAAATAAAGTCAGAGTGCTTAATTAAGTCCCAGAACCTGGCCTCAACTGTATTTTCTATCCTACCTTCCATTGTACTTCTGCCTTCGTGTAACCTCCACATACCCTGTCCTCTGCCTGCACCACAATCCCTGGGGACCCAAATCCCAGCAATATGACACGTCTCAATGCCTGCTTAGACTACTCCATTGGCCTGGGATGTTCTCAACCACTCCTCAGCCCATGGAAATACTGCTGCCTTTCACAGGCCTGCCCTGATGCTACCTCGTCAAGCTGATCTGTGTAGGTTCCTTCCCTTTCGGAACTGACCCCTCCCTCTCCTGTGTTCCTTTGCACCTGATTCGTGCCATCTTTGCAGTCATTGCCATGGCCACTTCGGACTGTAGTCATTTCTTTATGTCTGTTGTCACCATCACACTGGTCGAGAACATGGAACATGTCTTATTTTTTTTTTTTTGTACTTTCTACTTTATCTAGTATAGTAGAACTTCCCAACTCTTAATATAAGAGCTCTCATAGTAAGTGATGATATTTGTGTGATCTTATGGAGCAAAAGGGTGAGGTAACTTATGATTAGAGGTGGCATGCACACACACTTGTGCCACTTGTACCAACTGGAAAGCTTAGCAGATAGCATCTTGCATATAGCAGGTATCAGGTAAGTGTGTGTTGTACCCAGTTGAATTTTAAAAAATCAGATCATTTCCATTTTTTAATATGCTTTTCTAAATTAATTGATGGATTTTAAGTTCTGCTCCTCTCTGTAAATTCAGAGACTTCAAAAGAACCTCTACTTTAATCAGTATTTCTGCATTTTGTTAGTTTACCTAAACAGTTACCATTAGTCAACTGCCATATGATATTTTAGCTTACCACATAGAATCTGCAGTTGATGTATAATTATCATTTTATGATTTCAGTCTCTTATCTTGAGAAAATCTTTATCATTTGACAATATCTCAAAATGTTTCAACATACAATCTCCACAACTAAAGGTATGATAAATTTTCAGTTTTTATTATTCAAAAGAAATGTTTATTTTACTAGTAATAATCACCACTTATGCTTTTTTTGATTGCTTTCCTGAAATAGTGTACTCAGGTAATTCATCTAGAGTTGATTGAAAGTTTGGATTCAAGTGTGTATTCAGTAGCTCATGTAAGATTGTGGTAGGTGGTGCCAATTTAAGATTTTCAACAGCTCAGAAGTTTCTCATACTCATAGTTTGACTTTACCTGGTATATTATAAATCAAGTCACTTATAATATTGACCTATACTTAAATTGGGCTCATAGTTTTAAAGAATTTCCATGAACACTATTCCAATTTGATCTTGAGCTTCGTAATATCCTGATGAGAAGGAAGGTGAGGTATTATCCTTGTTTTATACATGAAAAAGCTAAGGTCAGAACGTGATAAATGGCAGAGCTCTCAGTTTTTCACCATTAAGTATGATATTAGCTGAGCATTTGTCATATATGCCCTTTGTTATGTTGAGGTACTTTCCTTCTATACCCATTTTATTAAGTGTTTTAATAAAAAATGGATGTTGTATCTTGTCAAATTCTTTTTCTGTATCTATTGATATGATCATATGATTTTTATCTTTTATTTTGTTTATGTGGTGTATCACATTGATCGATTTGTGTATGTTGAACCATCCTTGTGCCCCTGGGATGAACCCACTTGGTCGTGACATATAATCTTTTTAATGCATTGTTGTATTCAATTTTCTGGAAATTTGTTTAGGATTTTTGCATCTCTATTCATCAGAGATATTGGCCTGTAGTTTTATTTTTCTGTGTTATCCTTTCCGGGTTTTGGTATCAGGATAATGTGGGCCTCATAAAATGAGTTCGGAAGTATTAACTCTTCTTCAATTTTTTGGACAAGTTTGAGGAAGACAGGTATTGAATCCTCTTTTGAATATTTGGTAGAATTCACTAGTGAAGGAATCTGGTTTTTTTTGTTTGTTTTTGGGAAGGTTTTGGATATTTGTTTCAATTTCTTTACTGTTGATCAGTCTATTTAGATTTCCCAGTTCTTTGTGATTCAGTCTAGGAAGGCTATATATTTCTAAGAACTTGTCCATTTCTTCTAGGTTATTGAATTTGATGGCATATAGCCCTTCGTAGTATTCTTGGGTGATCCTTTGTATTTCTGTGGTATTTGTGGTAACTTCTCTTTCATTTCTGATTTTGTTTATTTGCGTCTTTTCTCTTTGTTCCTTAGTGAGTCTAGCCAGGGGTTTCTCAATTTTTAATCTTTTCAAAGAACCAGCTCATTGTTGCATTATTTTTTTCTATTGTCTTTTTGTTCCCTGTTTCGTTTAGTTCTGCTGTAATTTTTATTGTTTTCCTCTTTCTGCTGACTTTGGGTTTCATTTGTTCTTCTTTTCCTGGTTCTTTAAGATGTAATCTTAGGTTGTTTATTTGGGATTTTTCTTGTTTCTTGAAATTGGCCTGTAATGATATAAATTACCCTCTTAATACTGCTTTTGCTGCATCCCAATAATTTTGATAGGATGTATTTTTATTCTCATTTGTTTCTTTGTTTCTTTTGATCTCTCCTTATATTTTTCTTTGACCCAATTGTTCTTTAATAGCATGTTGTATAATCTCCACATATTTGTGGTTTTTCTCACTTTTTTTTATGCAGTTGATCTCCTGTGTCAAAGTCTTGTTGTCAGAGAATATGCTTTGTATGATTTCAATCTTAAATTGGTTGAGGCTAGTTTTATTTCCCAACATATAGTCTATCTTTGAGAATGTTCCATGTACACTAGAAAGGAATGTATAGTCTGGTGTTTTAGGATGAAATGCTTTGTAAATGTCAATTATGTCCATTTGGTCCTATGTGTCATTTAAGACTGATATTTTCTAACTGATTCTTTGGTTGAATGATCTATCCATAGCTGTCAGTGGCGTATTTATATCCCCTACAATAATTGTGTTTTGGTCAATTTCTCCCTTTAGTTCTGTTAGTAGTTGCTTTGTATATGTTGGTGCTCCCTGATTGGAGGCATATATATTGATAAGTGTTATGTCTTTGTTGATATTGTCCCATTTATCATTATGAAATGTATATCTTTGTCTCTTGTTACCTTTTTTATCCTGAAGTCTGTTTTGTCACATATAAACATGAATACACTTGCTTTTCTCTGGATTCTATTTGCTTGGAGTATCATTTTCCATCCTTTCACTTTGAGTCTATATTTGTCCTTGCAGTTGTGATGTGTCTCTCAAAGGCAGCATATGGTTGGGTTTTGTTTTTTTATCCAATCTGCTACTCTGTGCCTTTTTATTGGTGAGTTCAGTCCATTTACATTTAGAATGATTATTGATATATGAGGGTTTTCTATTGCTATTCTATCTTTTGTTTTGTGGTAGCTCAGTGTCTCCATTGTTTCTTTGTCTTTTTGTTCCTATCTGTTGTTTTAGTTTGGCTGGATTCTATGATTTTTCCCTGTGTTTCTTTTTTTTTTTTTAATGTTATATGTCTCAGTTCTGGATTTTTTTTGAGTGGTTACCATTAAGTTTATATAAAAGAAAGCTTCATATTTACAGTAGTCCTTTTTCTTCAGCCTGCTTCTTATCTCCATTCCCCTTTGCAGATTTAGACCTGTACTCTTTCCCCTTTTATGTTTTTGTTGTCACAGTTATCCCTATTCGTGCTGTGAATTCATTTCTGAGTTGCAGTAGCAAGTTGTCTTTTTTTTTAATGTTTTTATCTTCTTTACCTTTTCTGTTATGTTTAAATATATAGTGTCTATTTTGTGTAGGGGTTGCCATTTCTTGCTTCTGTCTGTTAGTAATCTTGCTCATGGTTTTGTGTCCTTTTGACTTTTTGTTTCAGGTCAAATAGCCTCATTCAGTATTTCCTGTAATGCAGGCCGTGTGGTGGAAAATTCCCTCAACTTCTGTATGTCTGGAAAGGTCTTTATTCTTCCTTCATATTTAAAAGATAATTTTGCTGGATATGTTATTTGTGGTTGGCAATTTCTCTCTTTTAATAGTCTGGATATTTGTTTCCACTCTCTCCTGGCTTGTAAAGTTTCTGCTGAAAATCTCATGGGCTTTTCTTTATGGGTTACTGTCTTCTTTTTCCTGGATGCCTTGAGAATTCTTTTTTTTCATGAATTTTTTTTAAACTTTATTGGGGAACAATGTGTTTTTTCCAGGACCCATCAGCTCCAAATCAAGTAATTGTCTTCAATCTAGTTGTGGAGGATGCAGCTCACTGGCCCATGTGGAAATCGAACCAGCAACCCCGGCTAAGAGCCTGTGCTGCAACCACTTGAGCTAACCGGCTGCCCTTCATTAATTTTTGACAGCTTCAATATAATATGCCTTGGAGAAGGCCTGTTGGGATCGAGGTAATTAGGTGTTCTGTTTGCTTCTTGGATTAGAGGATCCAATTTTTTTCATAGTTTTGGGAAGTTGTTGTTGACTGTTTGACTAGACTCTCTGTTTCCTTCTCCCTCTCTTCTCCTTCTGGTATATCCATTATTCTTAAGTTACTCTTTCTGATGGAGTCAGAAAGTTTTTGTGGAGTTCTTTCATTTAACTCTCAAGTCTCTCTCTTCTTCTATCTGTGTCATTTCCAGATTTTTATCTTTGATATCACCAACTCTTTCCTCCATCTGGTCAGCTCTATTTCCTATGATGGCTATTTCATTCTTCATCTCTTTTATTGAGTTCCTCATCTTTAGAATTTATTTTTGGTTCTTTTTTAAAATATCGATCTCTTTGGCAAAATATTCATTTTGTTCATTGATTTTATTTCTGAGTTCATTGTACTGCCTGTCTGGGTTTTCTTTCATCTCACTGAGTTTTTTCAGAAGTTCAATCTTGAATTCTCTGTCATTTAAGTCACAATATTTCCATGTCCTTAAGTTCATTTTCTAGAGATTTTTCATTTTCTTTCTAAGCTGTCTTGATACCTTGGCTATTTGTGGCAATTAATTATTATTCCTCTTCCTGGGCATCAACAGGAATGGATTCTCTAGCAGGTTGATATAAAGAGGTATTACTTTTGCTTTCCAGTAGATGTCGGTGGAGTGTTTATTTTCTCTCATGCTGCAGTGTTTTCTTTTCTCTTGCGCTGTTCCAGCTTCTGGCACAGTGGGAGATTTCCTGGGAGGTGGGCTTCTCCTCTGTGATCAGGTTGCCTGGGTCTCAGGGCACAGCCTCTGTAGGAGGATGTAGTGGGTGATGGGGTTCTGAGCCTCTGAAACCCCAATGCTGCCCCTGTAGTCCAATGCATAGCCTGCGTGTCTCAGCAGCCCTGGTTGTCCCTGCAGGGATCCGCCCTGAAAGATGGGGGTGGGATGGGCTGGGAGAGGTGGCAGATGTGTTTGTGGCTCTCAGCAATGGCAACTTCCAGCCCACAGCTGCCTTGCCCCTACAGCTCCTTCTCTGTCACCAGAATTAGCTGCACTGTGCGTCTGCTGCTCCAGGACTGCCTCCCAGTTCTCAGGGCCGTAGATATTCTGCTTTTTAATCCCACACTGCTACAGTTTCTTCTGAAGCCTGCTTCTAACACTGGGAGGGTGAGGGGAGGTGGCCAGGCTCCATGTCTTTGTTTTCTGCCTGGCAGTGAGGGCTTAAACTGCTGTTGTCACCCTTCTGTATTCGGTCCTTGCCCTGAGGTCTCTGCCCTGATCACAGGGGTCAGCCATATTATATGATCAGGCAGGATTGTGGGCCACAGAAACGCACCTGCAGTCTGAATCCTTCCCTCTCCTGGGACCACAGTGAGCTCTGGGCTGCGTCCTGCGTCCCCCTTCTCTGCACTTCCCCCATCCCTCCTTCTTTGTTTGCCCCAATTAATCCATCTTCAGATGTTTCGATGCACAGATCTCTCAGATGTGCTTGTGTCTTGTATAGGGAATCTTTTGTTGACTTATAGCTGTTCAATTTGTTGTAAGTTCCATGGGCGATTTCAAGGAGCACCTCTCATGCTGCCATGTTTCTGAAGTCACTCCAAGTTAACATAGTTCTTGAGATAAGGGAAGTATAGTAAATCATGGAGGGTCAATATGTCTAATGTACTTTAGTACATATTGAAGCATATAACTAGTTTGTATGAAATTGTTATGTTTGAAATTTGAGCCTAAATTCACTGTAAAGAAAAATAGCTCTAAAACAAATTATTAGCAAAATTAAATGCAGTTAACTTACTGACAGTTGTTCAGTAGACAGGAAATGCTATATCAAAGGACTAAAACTAATCTCTTTTACTAGTAATGAGTACTGTTAGGGTTTCAAGTACTAATGCATAATGACTGCAAATTATTTACAATTATTAATGTATTATAATATTGATTTTATTGTTAAATTAAGTTGATATAATATTAGAGAAAATAAATATTAGGCTGGAATTCTGTTATTAAGCTTATAAATATTGAATTGAAAACTATTGTAGAGAATATTTGAATAATGTACAGAAATTCAATATTGTTAAAGAGCTTTTGAAAATAGACTAATGAATTTATTTTATAGGGTAAAGCATTTTAATAATTTTTGCCCATTCTATCCAGTGTTTGCATTAAAAGTAAAAGTAAAACATGTTCTTTATTTGGATATGTAAAAAGCATTTTCTTTAAATTAAGAATATATATCACAATGCATTCCTACTTTATATTGTTATATTTGTGTAGCTAACAAAATATTGTATGATCAAATTATTACACTTTGCTTTAACCCCATTATTAACTTTATAGCTGACTTGAAAAACATCAAGAATACATGATTTTAAATTTTTCAATAATGCCCAAACTTCATTAATAATTGTAACTGAATTAATTTGAAATGTATAGCAACTTAAATTGACTTTATATTTTTTTCTGCCACTTTATTTTCTTATTAATAAGAGAGTAAAATCTGCAGTTGAGTTGAGGAAGGAGGGGACCATTGCTCCATTAGAGATTAAGGATGACATGCAAAACCATTTAAAAGAGGTGATGTTTCAGAAAGCAAAGGAATTGAAGCATCATCAGATGATTGAACTAAACGAAATTGAGGAATCCAACTCTGTGAAAAAAAATATAGATGCCATCTTAGATACCATGCAAGACAATTACAGTATGAGAAATCTGTCTCTCTCTCTCATTGAAGCATCTAGAAAAGCTGGCATTAGTTACATTGTTTATCCCAGGAAAAAGAAGATGAAATGGAAGAAAGGACTGAAATTCAGTAAACTTTCAAACATGTTGGACGATTTATCCAAGCCTCCAAAGATTCTTAAAAGGTCTTGTTTAATCAATAATTGTTATAATTTAAGAATTGCATTGTGGTTTTGGACTTAATTATATAATTTCATCCACTGAACTTGTTATTATTTTTCTCAGCCCTGAAAATATGTTGAACTCTTAGCTAAAGGACAATCTTTTTTTTTTTTAAATATACAGCTATTTAGTAGTATAAATATGTGAATAGTTCAAACTATAATTTAAAGGTGGGACTGATTTAAGGACATGAAGTAAGACTAAGTGAATGTGATGGCTAAAGGAAATCTTTTAGTGGAAAGAAATATAATCTACTAAGTTATTTTTCTTAAACGATTTAGGACCAAAACCCAACCCCTGCTCCGAACAAATACCACCTATTCAAAAATCAAAATAGATTGTTGGGATTTAACTGTTTCTAAATTTTAAAGTATAAAGTTGACTATTAAATCTAGATAGGCAAACTGTTTTTTGTATGTTATGAGGCCTAATTCAGAGATCAACTCAAAGAAATAATTTTTCTCCTTGCTTGGAGGTAATAGTATTTGGCATGTTTAAAAATATGGAGGGACCTAAGATAACAACTCAAAGTCCAGGTATGTTCATATTTAAGTTCAGGATATAATTTTCTTATAACCCCAGTGTTGTGCAAAATAGTTTCCAAAATGCTCTGGGCTTTGTTTCTCTTTAGATACCTCCAGATGACAAACAATTCATTAAACTTATGCCATTTTGAAGAGTAAAGACTTTCCTGGTGATAAGAGAGTCGTACACGTTTTGTTCACTTTATTATTATGAAGACTTGCTGGTTCTGAAAAGGGGTCAATTATATTTTGGTGTGTTAACTTATTGTCCCTTAGAAGATTGGGAATAACTTTTTATAAATATGAGTGACAGAGTGGAAAAGAGACCAACCCTAGTGGAGAATGCCATTCACCTTCTGAGTTCTCTGCACACTACTTCTGTTTAAATTTCCCCTGCAACAAATATAATATCTAGAAGCATTTTTTGTTAGCTCATCTTTAGAAGAATTTAGGTAGGTGTTTCTAAGTTGACGAATGTTTTAGATCAAAGATTGCTTATACATTTTTGATACATTTTCTGTTTTTATAATTGTTTTCTTAGTGTTTTTATTTTATTTTATTTCATTTTAGCATTATTATTATTTTTTGTACTTTTTAAATTATTAGTTTCAGGTGTACAAAACAACATGATTAGACATTTACACCCCTCACAAAGTGATAATTCCACCAAGTCTACTACCCCTCTGACATCACACGTAGCTATTACAATACCATTGACTATATTCCCTATGTTGTACTTTACATCCCATGGATTAAATATATAATTGTAGTTGACATTCAATATTATTTTATATTAGTTTCAGGTTTATAGCTCAGTGGTTAGGCATTTTATATAATCTATGAAGTGATCCCCCCAATAAGTCTAGTACCCATCTGACACTCTAAATAGTCTTTACATTATTGATTATATTCCTCACACTATATTTCACATCCCTGTGACTATTTTGTGGCTATCAATTTATACTTCCTAATCCCTTCACCTTTCTCACCCATCACCCAACCCCCCCTCCCATCTAGCAACCATTAGTTTGTTCTCTGTATCTATGAGTCCATTCTGTTTTGTTTATTTGTTTATTATGTTCTTTAGATTCCACATACAAGTGAGATCCTATGGTATTTGTCTTTGTCTGACTTCTATTTCACTTAGCATAATACCCTCTAAGTCCATCCATGTTGTTGCAAATGGTAAGATTTCATTGTGTTTTTTTTTTGTAGCAGAGTAATACTCTACTGTATATATGTACCACAATTTCTTTATCTAATCATCTATTCATGGGTTGTATTCATATCTTGGCTGTTGTGAATAGTGCTACAATAAACATAAAGGTGCATATATTTTTTCAAATTAGTGTTTTGGATTTCTTTGGATAAATACCCAGGAGTGGAATTGCTGAATCATTAGGTAGTTGTATTTTAATTTTTTGAGGAACCTCCATGCTGATTTCCATAGTGGCTGCATCAATTTGCAATCCCACCAACAGTGCACAAGGGTTCTCTTTTTTCCACATCCTCTCCAGCACTTGTTTGTTGATTTATTGATGATAGCTATTCTGACAGGAGTGAGGTGGTATCTCATTGTGGTTTTTATTTGCATTTCTGTGATGATTAGTGATGTTGAGCATCTTTTCATGTCTATTGGCCATCTGTATGTCCTTCTCTTTGGAGAAATGTCTATTCAGGTTCTCTGCCCAATTTTTAATTGGATTTTTTTTTTGGTGTTGAGTTGTATGATTTTTTATACATTTTGGGTATTAATCTCTTATCAGATGTATCATTGGCAAATATCTTCTCCCATTCGTTAGGATGTCTTTTTGCTTTTTTGATGGTTTCCCTTGCTGTGAAAAACATTTTTAGTTTGATGCAGCCCTATTTGTTTATTTTTTTCTTTTTGTTTCCATTCCATTTATATCAGTAAAAATATTACTAAGGGTAATGTCTGAGAGTTTACTGCCTATATTTCCTTCTAGGAGTTTTATGGTTTTGGGTTTTACATTTAAGTCTTTAATATATTTTGTTTATTCTTGTATATGGCATAAAGAGGTGGTTCAGTTTCATTTTTTTTTGCATGTATTTGTCCAGTTTTCCCAGCACCATTTATTGCTCATAAATAGATTGTTTTACCTCAATGTAAATTCTTGCTTTCTTTGTCATAGATTAAATAACCATATAGGCATGGGTTTATTTCTGGGTTCCCTATTTTGTTCCATTGATTTATGTGTCTGTTTTTATGCCAATACCATGCTGTTTTGATTACTATAGCCTTGTAGTATAATTTGATATCAGGTAGCGTGATACTTCCTGTTTTGTTTTTCTTTCCCAGGATTCCCATGGCTACAGAGTCTTTTATAGTTCCATATAAGTTTTAAGATTATTTGTTCTAGTTCTGTGAAAAATGCCATTGGTATTTTGATAGGGATTGCATTGAATCTATATATTGCTTTGTGTAGCATGGATATTTTAACTATATTAATTCTTCCTATCCATGAACATGGTGTATGTTCCCATTTATTTGTATCTTCTTTAATTTCTCTATTCAATGTTTTATAATTTTCTGAGTATAGTTCTTCTACTTCCTTGGTTAGATTTATTCCTAAGTATTTTATTTTTTTTATGCAATTATAAATGGGATTGTTTTCTTAATTCCTCTTTCTGATAGTTCATTATTGGTGTATAAAATGCAAATGATTTCTGAATTACATTTTCTTTTCTCAAAGGATGATGTATCTTCACCATCATAAAAAGGATAATATACTGTATTTTTTTGACCATGACGGAATTGATACCAATCTATATAAAGGATATAAGCAGATTTAACATTGCTTGAGTGGGATGTTTTACTGCTTACTGACCGTATATCATTTTGATTGTAAAGTTTAACTATTTAAAGATATTTCTTTGCTTTTTAATAACTGCATTTGAAATTTTTATAGATTGCCAACAGGTATAACAGAGGCCATAGGATAAACCTTTTGGTGGAGGCAGTAAAACAAACTCTGGGAGTTTTGATCTAAGATGATACATTAGTACAGCTCTCCTAACTTGTTAAAAAAAATCCTATCTTAACCTAATTTACCACAGAAGCATAACTATGAAATAAGTTTATGGAGCAACTTAAGAAATAATTTTATTTCTATAGTTTGAGGGTTTTCCCCCCACTAATCTTAACTTGCTTAACACAGAAACATCCTTCTTAGCATTTTATATTAGACCTTTAAGCTTGTTTCATCATATTCATTCTGGCTGGCTTCTTTAAATGGTTAGTCCTGATTGCCACTAGCAAAATTTCCATACTTGACCTGCCCCTGAAAGTGAATCTGTTTACTTGGCCCATCTTGCTATACCCCGAGAGAGGCAGAATTTATTATCTACAAGCCGGAGGTGACATCTTTTCCTTAGTGCACCAATCTCTAATTTCCCTTATTAGAGATACCTTATGGTCAGGTATTGCTTTTAGTATACTATCTTGGTGGATGGTGGTATGGGATGGAATGGGGCAGTTCCAGAGATTTGCACTTGACCTTTACTACCAGTATATCCCTCAGTGTATAGCTTATGCAGCCATTAAGTTTATTTATTCCCACTACAGATTCTGTGAGTATGGACATTATCACAGGATGGGTATATGTCTCACTAGATCCACTGGTAGATGGTTTCAGGCCAAGATTCTTTCTACCACTTGACCTTCATAATTCCCTAATATGATTGATGTACTTCAGTAATATTCACAGTGGGTATCTATCTGTGGATCAACATAAGTGTAGAGCCAGTATCTAATAACCCCCAGAAGGTTTGCACATTTAATCTTTCTCATACCTTTGGAAACTTTAGGGGAAAATTCATTAACCATACCCAGTCCTTACTGGGACCTGGCCTGGCCTTCCTGTCCCATGAGAGGTTTTGAATTGCGAACTCGCTTATGTCTGAGTCACTTATGGCTGGGTAAGAAGTTATGAACCCCCACTGTAACTGGTTAGGCTTTCATCCAGAAGACCTAAAAGTTTTTATCTATGCAAGTCAAAGAACACCTTAGCAGGCTGCCCATCTATCTAATTTCTGGGGACCTTTAGTCATTTAGTTATTGCCACAGATCCTTGTGAGTTAAAATTCTGTGATTCCCATTCTGTCCCCTCCTGTGGTTTATTTTGGTAACTGAGTCCACCAAATCCAGCCAACACACAAGAAATCTGTGTTTAATTAACAAGTCTCTGGGCAACTCTGATGCACAACAGAGAAATGGAAATTTTCTTTGTGGCTGAGTTGATTTATTGATTGTAAAAAATAATTATATTGCTACAATTTAAAAATCACTCTTTTAAAAACTAGATCAATGTCTCACGGGATCCTTCCTGGACAGAGGAAATATCTGCTCAAAGTTCCATTATATGAACGTCAATTTCGATGTCCCAGCCTACCCTCCTGTTTAAATTTTGACAAATTTACCCGAAGTAAGGGAGGAATTCCAGAAAATAGAGACCCTCGAACATGGGTTATTGATATGTTCTCTAAGCATAAACCTCAGAAGACAACCTCAAGGGAGAAAATTGTTAAAATGTTTGTTCCTGAAGACTTGCCTAAAGAAGCGAAAGAACCACCAAAACTCGAGTTGAGTGATTCTTTGGAGTCTGGTCTTCCTCCAGAGGTCATTAAACATTATGAATCTGAAGTGGAGATCTTGACTGAAGAAATAAATAATAAAAAAATATATGCTGCATTTTCATATTGTAGGCGTGGAGCTATTTATAGGAAACTGGGAAAGTTACAGAGTGCCATGAATGATCTACAAGAAGTAAGTTTTATTTCACCAAAATAACAATTTTAATAATTTACTCTTGTATATAATTATATAGTAATTTTTACTAACATTTTGAATAGTCAATTTGTATTGTACATTTGTGATTGTAAAATTATATTTATTAGCATTTTCAAATAAATATTAAAAGCACTAGATTTTGTTTGTTAGATTGGGAGGTACTATTTTATACCATACACATACAGAGCCACTGGGATCCATAGTATTTGAAATTTGATAGAGTATATTCCTTTAATACAGCAACTTCAATTGAATTTATATATATATATTTTCTAGGCTATACTCTTGGAACCATTGTTTCTCAATGCCTATTGGCACCGACATCTCATTTATCTTTTCCAAGACAAAATTGATGAAGCTTTGGATGACTTGAATTATATAAATAAATGTAATAAAAACAATGCAGGTGGGTTGTCTGTGCAGTCAGTTATATTAATTATATCTTTACCTAAGCTTTGGTTATTTAGTGGTACTATAAAGATACGTAAGTCAACATAGGTCCCCAAATGGGATGTGTCTTCCCTAAATTAAAATTACTATTGATATTGTAAATTTAAAAGACTCCTATATCTTATATTGTTTTCAAAATACTCATGATGGTTTTAAATGTTAATATCCTTGGTATACATTACAATAAATTGGTTGCTTACTGTTCATTCCAGAAGAACAATACGAACTTCAAATTTTTAGTTTTAGAAGTGATTCACAAATCTCTTCTTGACCACAAATCTCTGAATTAGAGTTGTAGTGTTCCTAAGACTTCCTGGTTGGATGTAATCTGTGTGTTTGCCCTTATGCAACATACTTTAACCGACTTGAATGACTAGACATGGACGTTTTTGGCAATGAAAAAATGTTGTACTCATCTTTGTATTTCCAGCATCCACAACATATTCCTAAAATGTAGCATGAGCTTAATAAATGTTTTAAAATCTAAGCTCATCTCTGCTAAAAGTCCATACAATTACTGCCATCAAAATCTAACTTTTTACTATAAACATTAAAATATGGGCCAGCCAAGTGGCTCAATTGGTTAAGGGCTTGCTCAAGAGTGCGAGCTTTGAGCAACAGCAGTTCGAGTCCTGGCCCGAGCTGAGCTGCCACTGAGCTACCAACAGGTGGCGGGATGGCTCAGCTAAACAAAACAAGACAAAACAAAATAAAACAAAACATATTATGAAACATTTCAGACATACAAAAAGGTAATAGTTAATTTTTGTTGCTTCAAATTGAAATTGAAAATGCTTTTAACCATAAATGAATATTTATCCAGGCTTTGAGAACAAAGTTTGCACTGTTGAAATAAAAAAAAACCCCCAAAAACCCTTACATTAAATGGTTAGGAAAGTATAATAGAGAAACATTACTCTAAGACTATATATAGCATTGGAGAGAGAGGGATTAATCTTTAAAATTTTTCATAGTTAATAAAAGAACTGTAACACTAAATTTTACCTTTTTAATTTTCTTTAGAAGCATATTTTTCAAAGGCTGAAATTTTCAGGGGAAAAAAAGACATTACTCTGGCAATTCTTAACTATACCCAGGCAATTAAGTGCAAGCCCATGGATGCTGATATGTATTTCAGGAGGGGTGAGATGTATGAAATAACCAACAAAGTACTGGCCATTGATGACTTTTCTAAAGTAAGCTATATCACATATAGTGCTACCATTTATATATTTTAGATTATGATATTCTTTCACATAGTTGTATAATCAAAACTATTATAGGTTAGGACCTAGGGCATTCATTACTCAATTGATATTACCACTACTCATATGTCGATTTTTCTTAAGTAAAGTTTTATTTCTCAATTACCATTGACATACAATATTATATTAGTTTCTGGTATGCAACATAGTGATTAGACATTTGTGTAACTTGTGAAGTGATCACCCCAATAAGTCTAGTACCCATCTGACATCATACATAGTTATTACAATATTATTGACTATATTCCCTATGCTGTATTTACCTCCCTGTGACTATTTTTATAACTGGCAATTTGTACTTCTTAATCCCTACCACTTCCCCCACAACCTCCCTCCCATCTGCCCACCATCAGTTTGTTATCTGTATCCATGAGTTTGTTTCTGTTTTGTTTATTTTGTTTTTTAGATTCCACATATAAGTGAGATCATATGGTATTTGTCTTTCTCAGTCTGACTTATTTAACTTAGCATAATATTTTCTAGGTCCATCCATGTTGTCACAAATGGCAAGATTTCACTCTTTTTTTATGGCTGAGTCAATTTTTAGAAATTATTATTAGTGAATGAATTGATTTATAGCGAATAGTTGGGTGTGGGAGCATTTGAGATAAATCTGAGGGAGGCATAATTTTTCCAGCTGTCTCTCTTTGAACCATAAAGCACTGGTTAACGAAACCGTTGAAAATTGCTTCTTCCCTACGGAGAAAATCATTTTCCATGCAACTCTTGAGACATAGCTGATTCTCTTCTGCAGCAAACCCATCTGTTCTCAAAAAAGCTGTGCTCACTGACTTGTTCATTCATTCCTTTACTCACAAATATTTATTGACTAAGGCACTCTACAAAGTAGTGAATAAATAATGAATAAAACAGACACGTTTCGGGCCGGCCGAGTGGCTCAGTTGGTTAAGAGCTCGCTCAAGAGTTTGAGCTCTGAGCAACAGCGGTTCGATGACCTGCCCGAGATGAGCTGCCGCTGAGCTGCCAACAGGTGGCAGGATGGCTCAGCTAAAACAAACAAACAAACAAACAAAAAAACAGACATGTTTCTTGCTTATATGGAGCCTATAGTTTAATAGGCAGATATTAAAGAAATAAATCCATACATAAATATATACTTGCAAATTATGTTAATGCCTATGAAGGAAATAATGATTTGTGTGTGGGGGGGGGCGTGGTGGTGGTGGTGGTGGTGGTAATGTATATTTAGTTGGGGGATGTCAAGGAATTCCCTTGAGGAAGTGCACTTTTAGCTGAATTGTACTCTGAGGCTAGAGTCAGGCAAATTATTCCCTTGATTGCAGCAGAATTGCAACCATTATCTCCTTTTAACTCTACATTCTTAGTTCTTAGTACAATTGAGAATTTAGAGGTTATTTAAATAATTTAGCTTTCCATTTTCCCAGAAACTACTCTGTTTCTTAATCCATGATGGTTAGCCACACACCTGACATTATTTTTGCTTCAAGATAATATTGTAAGTTTTGGTAATTTCTGGTCTAGAAAAAAAATCTTTTCACTATTTTCTTTTGAAGATATTGAAATTATTATATCATCTGTTGTGTTCGTTTTCTCCATCTGGCGCCAATAGTTTAAAATTTGACAAATGAAGCAACTTGAGGTCAAACTTCAAAACTAGGTTTTTTTTTAATGTGTGTGTGTTTTAAAAATAGTTGGTAATTTTTGTGCTTCCATCTCTCCCCACCTCCCATTATCAATAGGCAAGGAGCTTTGTAATTGAGTATACAGTGATTAGTCCGTTCACTCTATTGCCTTGTATGTCAATGAATGAACCATGCCAATACCAATTCATGTGTCTTCATCATTTTAGGGACTATTGTGGATTAATTCATATTTGATTTGGTTGAATCAGCATTGATGTGGTCTAATGTGTATCATCTTGAATTGGGATAAAATGCTGGGAATATAATTAAGATAAAGTTGGTAGATCCAGTATAACCCTACCCTAGTTGAACAAGTCTCTTAGGAAATTGTATCAATGAAATTTACAGTGGGCAAAAGACTTAGCTACTTATATATTCTCTCTCTCTCTCTCTCTCTCTCTCTCTCTCTCTCTCTCTCTCTCTCTCTCTCTCTNTCTCTCTCTGTCTCAAAACCTCCCTTTTCTAGAGTTTGGGGATAAATGGATTTTCTAACATCATGGTCTTTAAATGCAAGTCTCAAAGTCTTTATATCTTAATTCGCTTTTGTATAATCTGAGGTTAAAAACATGGTTGTAATCTATTAATTTGCTATGGGTTTATAGACCTTTTTTGGTTTGTTTGTTTTTTATTATGTGATATATTTTTGTATCTCCTTTTCACCCTCACACCCGCATGTAGTGTATTTTTTATGATCCCAAAAGAATAGATGCCTTATTGAAACGTGGAATGTTTTACTATGAAAATGGAAACTGGAATGCAGCCATACAGGATTTTACAGCTTTGTTACATGTAGATCCCCAAAATTCTGAAGCAAGGTGAGTATTATTTTATGAGTGACTTCTGAAATTATAATATTTTTTTAAATACATTCTCAGGAAAGAAAATTGCTTGAAATACATCAGGCAACCCTTTAAAAATAGTGAATCAATTTTCTGTGCTACCAGTGAATGAAAATCTTTACCTATACCGCAACAGTAGTGGTTAATTTAATTTATTATCATAGGCACAAAGGGATAATTTAGTTTTGTTAGTATTTCCTAAATACTACTTACATTATCAATTTTTAAAGTATTGGTCTATATTTTTATTCCTTAAATTCCTTTTTTATTTCCTTTGTACTTATCAATTATAGAGAACTATTCATATAGATTTCTGTAATATCTTATTGTAACTTGAATATTAAACTTTGTTCCTCCAACCTTATTCTGTATAATACAGTTCTCATTTTGTTGTTTTTCTTTAAGTGTGTTTTGAAGAGGTTTAAAAAACACGTATAACCTCATACCTACTCATCTTTCTCCTCACAATTTCTGTTTAATGTTAAATTTTTTATAGTCAAATAAAGCATGCATCCAGAAAAGTGTACAGAATATAAATGCACAGCTTAGTAACTTAAACCATGTCAATATACCTGTGTTACCATCACCAGGTCAAGAAACAACTTCCAGCACCCTGGAAACCCCCTGCGCCTTTGCCTCCCTGAGGAGGTTACCGCTGCCCAGACTTTGTTTTAATCACTTCCTGTAATTCCTTATAATTTCATCACATAAGTATGTTATGTGCCCCTATACATTCTTAGTTTAGTTTTGCCTTTTAAAAATTTATATAAATAGAATCTCATGGTAGTATTCTTTCACGTCTTGCTTCTTTTGCTGAATATATTGTCCGTGGCTCTAGTTTACTCATTTTAATTTTCTTTAGCATATTTAGTTGCATGAATACATTACAACTTACTTATCCATTCTACTGTTACAAACACTTGAATGTTTCTAGTTTTTTTTAAGATTTTTATTAGGGAATTGGGGGGGATGGGAACAGTGCTGGGGAATTGGGGGGGATGGGAACAGTGCTGGGGAATTGGGGGAAGGGTAACAGACAAGTTGCTGTCGTTTTGTTCTTCAGTCTAGTTGTGGAGGACGTTGCTTCACTGGCCCAAGTTGG